CACACACACACACACAGCGCCGTTCTCCGCACTGAGCATGCTCAGACCTCATGGACCCAAAGAAACAGAAAAATGTGATTTTGATAAATAATCAACACTAAAAAGTGTTTAATACAACAAAACCATCTTATTGATTTACTGATGAGCTGTCAATGAGCTCTGCTTTCAGATGTTCAGACATTTAAGAGTTAATATCTTACCTGCTGCAGATGGCTCCTTGAGCGACATCAGTTTGGTTTAACTCCGACCTGAATGATGAGTTAACAGTTTGTACAAATCTGGGTTGCTGTCATCTTTAAACGTGTCCAAATTTAAAGATTTCGTAGTGATTTATAAACTTTTTTTAAGCCTTTACTAACCCTGCAGCAGCAGCTAGCTGTAACACTTGTATTCAGGAGCACTTCCTGCAGAAATATTATTATTAATCTGCAGAACTGATGAAGGTCAAAGTTTTTTAAACAGTGTTTGAATTAAATATTTAAGTTCTGTGAGCTGAATGATTAAAAGAGTAATCTAGAACAGGTAAGATATTGACGACATTAATGTCACTTCAAAGGATCTAAAGAGGCCGGTCAGTAATTCGATCTAATCTAAGAATAAAATCTAAATGTTTTCTTTGACTGTGCAGAACAGGATCCTCGGTCACGGCTCTGAGCACAAAGACAGGTGTGGTTTATTGTCCTCTAACCGTAGACCCCGGCTGTCTGAGTTCAGGAGGCTCCTGGTGAGACTCCAGCGATAAGGCTGAGGGAATCTTCCAGCTAACATACGACCATAAAACTCCAGGCTGAACTCCGTGCACTTTGGACTTCCTGGAGGAGTTCCTTCTGCTTTGTGGCCGAACAAACTGCAGCTGTCCTGCACTGATTTCAGTCTCTAGCATTGATTAAAACCTACAGTGTGAACCCTGAGTGCTTGAAGCTGATACTGAGTTGGTTAGCCAAGAAGCAGAATAGTTGCAAAATGCTAACAGTTGCAAAATGCTAACAGTTGCAAAATGCTAACAGTTGCAAAATGCTAGCTAATAGTGATAACTATCAAAATCTGAGCTAAGGATTTGACATGCTAAGCTCAATGTGGCAAAAGTCTGGCATTCAAAGCTAAAAGATACAAGTAGCAAAATGCTGAAACTAGTGTAAATTTAGCTAAAATTAGCATAATGTAAGCATACAACTAAAATGTGAAAAACACTATAAAAAGCCCAAAAGAGAAACATCTCGATTTAGAATGTAATTTTTTCTACTAAAGTTTTTATCATTGAAGCCCAAGTTTAGTCAACATTAGTGGTGGTAATATGAGTGTTTTTATAATTAAGAGTATAAGAAGTAGCAGTAAAATAATTAGCTTTAGCACCAGATTTAACTTTATTGATCCCTTGGGAAATTAAAGGTTGTAGCATTAGTAGGAGTAGCATCTGCAATAGTACAATTAGCATTAGTAGAAGCTCCAGTAGCATCATTTAGAGGCAATTGGCAAAAGTAGCAATAATTTTAGCTGTAGTAGTATTAGCATTATATATATTCTAGCTATCTGTAGATTAATTAGAATTAGCAGTTTTGGCATTAGCAGTATTAGCATTAGCTAAAGTATAATCATCTGTAGAAATAGCATTAGCAGTATTAGCATTAGCAAAAGTAGCATTATTATTAGCAGTAGTAATATTAGTATTATATATATTCTAGCTATCTGTAGAATAATTAGCACTAGTAGTATTAGCATTAGCTCAAGTATAAACGCCTGTAGAAATATTAGCATTAGCATTATTAGCATTAGCAAAAGTAGCAGGATTATTAGCAGTAGTAGTATTAGCATTATATATATTCTAGCTATCTGTAGAATAATTAGCATTAGCTCAAGTATAATCACC